TTTTTTTTTTTTTTTTTATATCGAAATCAAAGAAGTAAAATTCTGAAATAATTAAAATAATTTTGTGAACAATTCGAAATGTAACAAAGTAACTGTGAAATAATTGAAAGTAACTTGGGTATAATTGAAATAAGAAGGTGTGAAAGAAACAAGAGAAAATATGAAAAGTATATAAATAAAGTGTAAAATAATTTTCAAAATTATTCTCAAAAAAAAAAAAAAAAAATATATAACGACGTGAAAACTAACGAAATTATCGAAAAGAATCTAACACAGTAAAGACAATTTTTCGTCTCGGCCTAACCTAATCGCTCATTCGAAATTTTAATTCCAATACTCAATGGCTCAAGTCGCTTGAAAAAAAATTCCAAAAATTAAAAAAATTGATTCTCTAAAATGAAAAGATGTAACGAGGTAAAAACAAACGTAATATTAAAAACAATTCTTAAGAGAAAATATACCCAGAATATACCTCAGTGATAAACAATTCGAGATTTTATTTTCATTCAGAGAGAATTCGAGGACAATCGAACTAGCTTTAAAGACAATTCCAAAGAGTATCATTTACTGTATCAAAGAGAGAGACAGAGAGAGAGAAAAAAGGATTTCACGTTAAGTTAACTTCCGGTATCTCTTGGACAAATTCAACGTAATTAAAGAGACAAGGGAGAAGCGAAGGTTGAAAAAGAGCGGCGGAAGAAGCGAGGCAACTTTATTGCTCCGGTTTTCGTCCAGCTGTGCGCGCACGGCCTAGCCTTCATGAATAATTCAGCTCGTACATTATTTACGGGGTAGAAAATTGGAATCTATTACATTTCGATACGGCGGCGCGCATCGATTCGACACAGTTAAAAATACGCCGTATTCACCGTGGCGCGAGCAGCCACGAAAATTCGATTACATTCACGAATTACATTCAAACAGTTGCTAGTTAATTACAGGAAAGCAACAAACACCAAGATGCCGCGACGCGTATTGTTATTCAAAACGACTGATGCTGAAAACTCTCGTTTCACGCACCACCGGCGAATCACAATATTTTCGGCGGGACTCTGACTTCCTGGAATTTCCCATCCTACGTTTCGAGAATTTTCAGTCGAAATTCCAATTACACGGCTGTGAAAAATTGTTCGTAACTTCGTGAGGAAAGTATTATATAATTGTATAATGATTTTTTTCGAGCCTCTTTTCTAACTCTCGCAATCTCTTCGTTTTCGTAATAGTCTTGAAAATTGAAATTTTCCCTTGAAATCT